AGGAGGAAATGTTCCCCCTTCTTTTAGACTTCTTGACCTTTGACCCTTGACCCCAAAATTGGTCATCCCGAGTCCTTTTCGGATTACCCCCCCACGTCCCGACTTTCGAATCCGTACGTCGAGCGGTTAAGATTTGTGCCCAACTGTTGACGGACGGACGGCCGGACGCACGCACGGGAGGACAATCATGCGATTCTACAAGCTGCATCTGACTATGTCAGATGAGCTAAAAACGAAAACCGAACCGAACCGGATGTACAGTTGAATCGCGGTTAATCATTACACCCTAGTAAATGCCTACCTTCGGCGAGAATATTCTGCCTGTACGGCTACTGTAGGACTTTGTTGACACGTCTTCCTTCACTTTTAAAAATGTGTCAGTCTCCTGCTGAACCTGTCACCAAACGTTCAACAAGTAAAATTATAACTTTCTGATTCTGAATAAATATTAATAATATATCTAAAGCCCGGCGCACATTGCCGAACATTTTTCTCAAAAACATTATCGTAGCAATGTTCCATGAAATGTTCGGCAATGTGCGGTGAAAAAAGTCGTCGAACATTTGTTCCGAACAATGTTTCTGAAGATCGGAAATGTTTGATATCTCGAACATTGCTCGTCAATGTGCGCTGAATGTCGAACAATTCTAGGAACATTTGTAAAGTAGTAACCAATAGCAGCACGATATGTGGTCATATGATTTTTGTGTACAATATGGCGTCTGCTATATCGCTGCCAGAAGTGTGGAATTTTGAAAAGGAAGAGATTATGGTCGAAATGTGGGGGCAGCAGCCATGTCTAAAATTAGTAAAGTTGTTAAAATTCTCTTGTGCAAACTGGGCATCGCCATTCACGACGATCACGTGACTCTTTACAACACAGCTACTAGACGGCGCCACGAGGTTATTCGCTGCAAAATGTTCGGCAATGTGTGCTCAGCAATTGTTCACCCGCACATTGCCAGACAAAAACATTTGTTCGGGAAAATGTTCGGCAATGTGCGCCAGGCTTAAATGAGCACATTTTGAAATCGGTCCTCTATCACAGGACCTGTTTTTCCACAGCATTTACGATATCATATCATAGCATAATATTATTGTGTGTGATACCTGCTGAAGCTTGCTCTGGCATTTCATTCGTTGCTCGTCGATCTGCCCAGTATACATTTCCTTCATGGCAGTTTTCTCTCTGATCAGTGCTTGCAAATTGGCTACAAAGGGAATGCAAACTTGAGTATTCAAAAAAGCAAATAGTGTTAATGATTATTGCTTTATAACCAATTTATCTAATTTAATCGAATCTAAATTTCACAGAAGTGATAATAACACAGAAATATTTCATCAGTTAAATGTTTCATGTTATAACACAAAATACCAATGCCTTCATGTACCCATGTATTTGTGATATCGCTCTTCCTGATCTGTGACATTCTTAGGATCGTGGTCTTGTTTCGCCAATGCATCATCTGTCTGTATAATTGCAGCAATCATTATTGCATTCTACAACTCTACCTACAACTGTGTAGCATTTTGAGGACACGGGTATCTGATTAGTGATCTTACTGAGCCTACTTGTAAAAAAATGACAAATTATCACTCTCCTACTGGGCTATGAACAGATCACCATTTTAAATAACAAATGCAAAAACGTGTCTACTATGAACCGACATCTGTCCTGCACAGATTGGTTACATACTTTCTTCCGCCTCAAGTATTCAGCAAGCTTGTGCTGAAGTTGGTAGTTTGTCTCTCTGAGCTTTGATGCCTCTTCCAGTTGAGCCTGTAGATAATGATGACTGTAGATGCATGGCCACAGGTAATGATAGCGAACAGGAAGGTTTTTAAATATAAATTGGCCATATATTTGCTTTCATTCGATCAACACAAGGAATGAACAAAGCTATGCATAACTGATAACGTATTAGCACTTCAGATAGCATATGTTTATACTGGTATCTTCCAGGTTCACACTTAGGCCTACAAGATAAATAACCTAGCTACACAATGACTTATATGATATATGTGTTTTGCAATGAATGCAATCAACCCATATCCTCTTATTTTGGTAAGATCCGAGTCAAAAATGTTGTAAAACTGATTGAAGTCACTTCCATCACATCCATCACTTCCATCACAGGAATCCTACAAAAACTAGTGAAAGTGAGCAATGTAATCCTGTCCCTGACCTGTCATAGTCTAAGAGAAATGGCTTTAAGAAACGAAATAGTGCTAATTTAAAAAATAATCGATCTTACTGGTTCTGCTTGAGACAAAATGTCCATTTTGGCCACATTTAGGTGAGAAATCATGTTTTTAAATGCATGGACTGGTGTTATAATTTTGCAGATAACAAACGTATCCAAAATGACAACTTTGTCTTGATTAGTGTCAGGAAGTTTACCCTTATGGATTCACAAGTTTACCCTTATTCTCACAAAGAATACTTGTAAAACTGTCCTGTTGAAAATTTTCTGTTTAAAGTCATCTGTCTCATTGAGTATTTTCTTTCAAATCCTTATCATTCAATACCTGATAATGTAACATGAGCTCCGCTCTGTCGTATATCAGCTGTGGATTCTGTGCAACCTCACATGACTCAATAACCTCCCCATCACTGTGACTTTCCAGTTCAGCATCGGATAGGTCATAACTGACTTCTTGCTCTTCGTCAGAAAGTGCATCTTCTATCTGTTGATAGATGAAATCATGTAGCAGACCAAACTCTAAAGGAATTAACATGAGGGTATTTTTAATCTCTGTTACAAACGATAAATTTTCTTTCATGCATTTCAGAATCTAAGGGTATTTCATATTTAAAATTCATAATTCTGTTCCTGTCTTCTTGGGCAAGCATAAACATAAAATTGCTCACATCTTTCCCTGCTTGCTCAGCCTCGGAGCCATCACTAGCAGCTTGAATCCCGCTTGTGCTTTTTAAGTTTGAAACTTTATCCTTTGAGGGCTCACTGCTTTGCAATGTGGCATCACCGTTCTCCTCTTCGATATAGACAAGGTCGTGAGGCGGGTCTCCCAGCACATCCTTGACACTATCTGCATCAACAGCTTCGGTTTGCCCATCTATTTCACTACAGTTCTCATCGGTAGCCTGCACTGAAATGACATTCATCAGCTTAATTCTTGAAACCACACTATGATATTTCACTCTTGGTTTTTCACCTACGGGCATCTAGGGAATGACACGACAGGGATAAGATACTACAGTTCAACCTAAGCATACTATCAGGAGTGCATATATATATATATATATATATATATATATATATATATAATTATATAGATATATATTCCCTATATTATTCACTCCTGACGCTATATGGTAAAATACTAGGTGTCCAGGGGAACTTAAGGTTAGGATTACATGGAAGCAGGGTAAAAAATACACGGGAGCGATGAGCGATTCGCTCTTCAAACCTCCGAAATCGCTCCCGTAAAATTATTGACGAGAACAATTTTTTCAACAGACTTGAAAAAGAGTTCCCGTGAAAAAAATGTTATTTTTTCCCTGCACGGAAGTATCGGAATGCTATATATGTATATAGCAATGCTAATTATTTAAAAAAATTACTTTAAATACTAGACATCGAGCATAAAGGTACTGAACTATAGACATGTAATTAAAATGACCTATGACAGGTTTCGTTCAACAGTCCTAAAAAACAAAGTTTTTACATTAAAAACTTAAATTTTGCATGTCTGTAAATTTGTAGAGAGTAGGCTATTGCCATAGAGGGTCATTGAAAATGTAAAGGCTGCACTAGTGTGTTTGGTCCAAGAAATATGATTGAAATTGAGCTCATGCCTATTTTGTATGAGAGGCAATAAAATAATCTAGTTCATGCAACAGTTTGTTCATTAATCACTGATTCAGCGAATGATTTTATTTGGGTAAAATCTCGTGGTCATGGAAAATGACCTATTTAAGTCATTGGGAGCTCCTGGAAAACCGCAGAAAAAGGTTTTGGCTTAGGCTTAACAAACTCATTGCACATCACTTAATTGCATTTTTGTGAAATTATTCGTCTAGTTGCCTAAAGAATTCACTTATGTCGAGATGTCATTCTCAGGCTGTACGTGCCACTGTAAGATACATTTTGGGTTAGTTGTTTTGGGGGTATCATTACCTGGATTAATACCCACTTCTACGTTAGGGATTTTTAAACTGCTGGTAATTTGCTTTGGCTCCAGCACATTCTCAGCTGTTTCTCCCAAGCTCTCATCATTGTCTGGTGGTACAGCAACACAAGCTTCTTCTTTGCTCCCATGTGTTAATGCATCTGCACTGATATTTTGAATTTCTTCCTGGGTAAATGCAGATTCATGAGAACAAAGCCAAATTAGTTCATGAGATACATACATGATCTTGAACATCATCATTTCTCAATAGCCACAACCAAAACCCTGGTTCATTAACTCATTATTACGAAGTTTCCCCTAAAACTAAGTAAAGCATACTTTGCTTGACTCTTGACGTTCAATTATATCCCATCTCAACGATGATGGCTCTCAAGTATAATGACCCATAAAGTCTCTAGTTACTAGCATACATGATACAATTCATTATATACACCAGGAGTAGATAATAGGGAAGGAGTGTGACATCAATAAACAAGGGAAATTCGTCATTTATTAGCCTTATAATACCTACGATTTACTACGCGTAACTCATCCAACTTGAGCTCAAATCGTACACAGTACATTCACCTAGCATCGTGCGAAATCGTTTCCTCGTTTACACAAGAAATCCGGAGATACAGACTAAAACGTACCAGATTATCCATTCTTTGGCCATCAATCCAAGTCCATTGCCCGCCTCTATTAAAACACCACCGGCTATACTGACGCGCTGTTGCTGTGCTTGCTCTCTCGGAATGTGGCGGTGTGGCTCGCGGGGAGATTGGACATCGGCGAAACCATAGACGCAACGGGCGAGTGCTACTGTAGCCTGTATGCTGTAGCCTGTAGCCGTGCAGCGACGCAATCTCCCCGCAAACCACACCGCCACATTCCACATTCCGAGAGGGCAAGCACAGCAACAGCGCGTCAGTATAGCTGCCCTTTGTTTTAATAGAGGCGGGCAATGGACTTGGATTGATGGCCAAAGAATGGATAATCGTGTCGTACATTTTAGTCTGTATCTCCGGATTGCTTGTGTAAACGAGGAAACGATTTCGCACGATGCTAGGCGAATGTACTGTGTACGATTTGAGCTTAAGTTGGATGAGTTACGTGTAGTAAATCGTAGGTATTATAAGGCTAGTAAATGACGAATTTCCCTTGTTTATTGATGTCACACTCCTTTCCTATTATCTACTCCTGATATACACTGACTCCACTGAGGAATAGACCTGCTCAAATGTCTTAGAGATGAGAGATGCTATGGGCCATAACTCTAGCCTCTAGGCAAGGAAAGGTCCACCAATTTTATAATTATAAACTTGGGGTGTAATGGGAGAATATTTCCAATCTGAAGCCAAGGAAGAGAACTTTGATCACACAGCCACAGACAGGATTGGCAGAACAAATTGTGAATTTATGTATTGCAGGTCCATATCATCGTGACAGTCATTACTGACATTAGCTCCAAGAAACGGTATTGCTAGGGTTAGAATACCTGTATATTGACGTTAGTCACACAGCCTGGTTGGGTTAATAGAGTTAGACAGTCATAACTCATATGGACATATGTTCATCATGATATAGCCCAGGCGCGCAAATCCATTTTGAAATGTGGGGGGGACACGAGTAGCGAGCACGCGAAGGGGGGGTCTGGGGGGCTCAGAAATTTTTTGAAATTAGACCCCCTCAGATGCGTTTTCTGCGCGAGCAGGGGGGTCCGGATTCCCTGGACCCCCCCCCTGTACACGCCCCTGCACACATACACACACACACACACACACACACACACACACACACACACACACACACACACACACACACACACACACACACACACACACAC